CAATTGTCTGCCAATTTTCTCGCTTTTGTTATCTTGTATTAATCCAATTAATGCTCTATCTCTGATATTGAGCATTTTATTCCAAAGACTGCTTGCCACAAATGCTCTTTCTTTCAAACTTCCACTAGCTAACAATATTTCTGACATCACATTATCTTTGTTATTGTTTAATATATATATATATATAAAAATGTGTGTAGCAGATATAAAATGTCATAGCCATCCTATTTCTGTTTGAGGATAGAACAAGCAATTACTGGAAAGTGAGTTGCAGTCATTGTATAATATACATAAAGTAATGATCATATTTGTGATCAAATATAGAAGAAAAGGAAAATGGGATGCAAAGGAAAAATTTTCTTAAATCAAACAATTAGGAAAGTGTTTTTGAGTACAGAGCCACAAAAACAATTGTTAAATGTCATTGAAGTTAAATGTCTGGATAGGGTTGTCCTTAGCAAAAGTTTACAGATTTTTCTTTCTTAATGTAAACATTACAGTTAAAAAACAGAATAGTAAATGTTCCCTGCATATTGCTCATATGCTATCAGCAATTTTTGGGATAGAAAATTACCAAATCGATAGCTTGGGAGAGTGAGACACCCTGATTTGAAGAACAAGGTCCCCCTGATATTAAACCTCCAAATTTGTTTGGAAGAAAGAATTGTCATTTATAAAAGAAAACCCAAAACAATTAAGAATTTTTTAAAAATTCCATTAAAGAAGTTCCAGGTTCAATAACCGCTGAAAAATGTCAAAACACGATTCAAAGTTTCATGAAAGATTTCAAATTTAATTTAGGAATTTTAATTATTATTTGATTTGTTAATAAAAAAAAAATAATTTTCCTTTATATTTCATTTTCATTTCTTTCTATTTTGACTTTCAAATGTAATTAGTCTATTTACATCATCTGTGTGTGTATACACACACATACAAATATGTGTGTGTACATACACATATATTTAAATGCTAAAATGGATATTCGTATTTGAGTAGATGCTCTGTTTATTTATTAAACAATACATTTACTTATTTTCAACTACTGGTCTGAATGTTCGAATCCTGCCAGAGAGCTCAAATCTTTCTTTAATAAGATTTCTTGAATGTTTAGGTTGGCAGACAAAAATAAATAAATATTCTGTTTAATAAATAAACTGAGTGTCTATTCAAATACAAGTATCCACTAAAAATAGTGTTTAAAGTGATAAAAATCTTAATATTAATAAAGATAAACAAATCCATTACTTTCTTATATATAGGGCAGCAACCTTTATTTTAAAGATCTTTCATTAAAAATGGCAGACAAGGAAGATCTAATTAATTTTTAAAATTTTTCCACCATCCTTATGTTTGTACATTTTGTAGGAGTAAGGGAGTACAAAAATTTTCCATAATTTTTATTGTCCCATTGCACACACACACACACACACACACGTATTTACTTATAAATTTAAATCACTGTAATATATAAGTGATTGAATGTATTGGTATTAGTAAAAAAATTATTTTATGTTTTTTATTAAATTTTAACTAACTGGACTTGCCTATATTCACCGCATCCTTGATATCGACTGTTTCTATATAAAGTTGTCATATAATAGAAAAAAGACATTTTTTAGAAAAAGGGACTTTTTTTATTATTTCAAATGACAATTATAAACATTTTTTTTGTTTACATTCTCAAAACCTTGAAGTTAGTAGAGCAGATGATATAACTGTTAAATTTAGTTTGATAAACATGCAATTCTTTTTTCATATCCTGCTGGAGAGCGCATATTCTGGAATCCAGAATCCTGAAGATTTCATTCCAGCTGCAACTATTGCATTGTCCTTTCCACTTGGGCCAGTTTTTGTAACTTTGATTAAAATTGCACTTTAAAACAAGAAGGAAAACCTTTTTCAGTTTTTTTTGCTCTGCTTCTTAAATTTATTCCAAATTTTAAAGCAGCTCTCTTCAATGGTTATAAATATCTCCATTTTCTTTTTGAAATAATAATTATCCTTCTTTATTAATCTTTAAAGAATGTGTAACATTTGTTTATAAAGAAATGCAGTAGTGTTTTCACGGAAAATGGCTAATGTAGTTTTGATAAGAGAAAGAAATAGAAACTTTTATAATAAATAGTGAATTTGAAAAATTTCTTCTAATTATATTAAGTCAACAAAGTGCATCCAGATTTGTTCTATATGTAAAACAAAAAATAGTAGAAACCTTCTTTTACTTTTTCTGTTTTTCAGTTTCCTAAATTTTTTCTCTCTCTTTTTTTTTTTTTTTTTTTTTTTTCTATAAATGTAAATTAATTAATTCAGCTAAACTTCTATCTCAAGAATTTCAGATATATATACAGTTTTTTGTTTTGTTTTTTTTCCCTAAAGTTTTATGGGCAGATAAAATTATTTTAAAATAACTTTTTTTTTTTTTTTTTTTTTTTAAATTATGTAAATTGATTTATTTCCAATATTTCTATAGAATTCAAACGTAATCTTAATACTGGAGAGATATTTAGATGCTGTAAAAGGATAGTGTGTTGTAGAAAATGAATACTGTTTTTTTTTTTTTTTTTTTTTTTAATTATTAAGCTATTCACAAGAGAAGATCAGTATGTACATTATTTATATACAGACTATTGTACTCATCTTTTATTGTTGTTACCAGTGTTTATGTCATTATACTCTCTGGTCTTCATCAAGTGTTTATCAATCCAGGTAACATTCAAGGAATTTTGAACTGAACCTTTTATTTAATCCATGGGGAAAAGATTATCATTCTGCTGCAACCCGTGGGGGGGGGGTCTAGGGATTTATCACATCTTGTCCTCATTTATTATTGCTTGGTCCCTTTCCCATTCAGTACAGGGATTACTCCTGATTACTGTTACCAATTTCAGGAACCAATGCTTTAATCCGCTCTGGCTATTGTCCCGTGGATTAATAACAACAAGGATGAGGACAATAGACTGCATATAATTAATGATAACATTTCATCCCAGAAATTCAAATGGAAGACAGTCAGATGATAATAACAACAAAGATGAAGACAACAGTCTGCATGTAACTAATGTAAATAATTTTAACTCCCTATGCCAGAAATTCAGGCAGAAAAAAAAAGAGTGGATCATTTAATCCATAGCCTGCTGTAGAGTTATTAACTGAATTTTTATCTAAATTTTTCACTTTATAATGTTTGATCTTCCTGAATAATGTTCATCACAGAAGTAAGTGCATTGGTAAGGAAGGAGATTAGGTGGAAAATAAATGCTTATATATATATATATATATAATTAAACATATACCTACATTTGAAGTGCAACTCAGAGTTTTATGGTTTTGGTTTTCCCATTCATCAGGTACTGAGTTGGTACTTCAAATGTAGGTATATGTGTAATTATTAATATATACTATATGGCTCTGTTTGACAACATTGAGCACAGTTTTGTTTAAACAAAAATTAAATAAATATGTATTTGCTCATCTATATATGCATGTAATCATACACATATATGGTTACTCATATCTCATTATTTAGTTCATATTCACACACACACACACATATATATATATATATATATATATATATATATATATATATATAGAGAGAGAGATATTATTATCATAAATGTTATATTTAGTGGATTCATGTATTTGAATAGATTTTTGTTTTATTTATTTATTTATTTTTTTTGTTATTTACTGTTTATAGTAATAAGAAATAAGGTAAAAAAAAATCCTAGCTCAAAAATTAATGTTGTTTACATTTTGGATATGAAACTGAAGCTAGCAGATATAGATTCATGGAAGTCCTAATGAGAAATGTGGTTTCCTTAAGTAGGTCAGTCAACCTTTGCCCTGTCAGGCTGGTCTCTGTGGCCAAACTGGTAGAGGCACACTTTGGCTCAAAAAATGGTTTCCTGATGGGGAAAAAAACCCAAAAAAATGAGGTACAGGTTTGATTCATTTTAAAGGCACAATTTTTCTTTGGGACTTCTCAATCTTGTCTGATTGTTATTAATTTTACAGTATAAGAAAATAAAATAAACAGGGTAGCAACTGAAATACTCCAAATTGTTAAATGATAAAATATTAAAATATTATTCTAAATAATTTACAAAAGTGCTGAATGTAAAAAAAAAAAATATATGTTTAAGATAAAATGACTTTTTTTTTCTCTCTTCTGAATTCATACACATTGTTTGAGTTCTAGAATTGCCTCTTTTTCTTTCTTTTTTAAACTATTTCCTTACAAAATGGATATTTCTCAAATCTCTTGTGTATAGAAACCTGAAGCTTTCTATTACTATTTGTTTATTAGAAAATAAATTACATAATCTAGTTTACTGCTTGAAAGAAGATTTTCATGAAGAAAAAGAAGGCAAATTTTTCACTTTTTTGAAATGGGAGTATAAAAATATAAAAGCAATAAACTTAAAAAATTGTTTTACCTGATAAATATAAACCCAATAAAGAATTTCTGATACAGAAAGGCAATAGAAATTAAAAACTGAAAAGCATTAGCAAAATTAGATGTGTACAAAATCCCAGTATAGGGAATGCGGGTGTGCTATGATTACAAATCTAATTCCCACAAAGGTAATTTGTTAATTTTAAGAAAATCTAAATACAATTCATAAATATTTGAGTGTGTGTATGTATATGTATATTATATATATATATATATATATATATATATATATATATATATATATTTTTTTTTTTTTTTTTTTTTTTGACAATTCTTTATAATGCATATAAAATCCAGCCTGGAAAACATTGCTGTAATATCTGCAGACCAAATCAAGAATTGGAAATGATTTTATACTTTTACAAACTAGATGCAATTAAATCTTTGTTTTTTTTATTTTTTTTATTTTTTTCTCAATCTCTTTCTTCCTTCTATCTTTGTAAATTTCTTTTTTTTCCATCTAATGCATATTAATTGCAAGTGTTTGCTACGTGAAGGCTTGTCTGGTCAACTTGGTGTCTCCTTTTCCTGTTTTCAGGCTGATATCCCTCCTGTGCTATTTGATTGGAGCAGTAGTGGCCTTACTAACCCGTTAGAGCAATGTGAGTACGCCTGTACTCCATACTTTGTACCATGGAACCATTTATTTGTTTGGCATTCTCGTACAAAATGACAGTGCACTGGATGAGCTTCTTATCATTTTTTTCTTTTTTTTTTTTTTTTTTTTTCTCAAAAGAAAATGGAAGAAGGAAAAAAAATGGCACTTGATTTTTGCCATCTCCTGATTTTTCTTATCTCACATTTTTTCAGTCTTTTTTTTTTGTTTTGTTTTGTTTTGCTCATGCTTTGTTTTTCATTTTAATAATGTGGTCTGTATTCATATTTTGGTCCACCTCTTTGTGTTATATGCAAATGATTTTTTCTTTTTTTTGTCTTCTTTTTTTACTATGGTTCATATTGGGTGTATGCCTTATTAAACTGTATCAATAGCCTTCTCAGGGATGTAGAAAAACAAATTTATAGGCTAAACCACCAAATAGTTCGATTTTTAAAGTTGTAATATAAACTCTGTAATACTGTATAATATAAAATGTTTTAATTTTTAAAGGAAACAATTCAAACTAAAAACTAAGAAAAATTACATTTTCATTTTGAAAATGTATTTCTTTTAAATGTTTGTTTTGTATACCTCTGAAAAGCTTATTTTGTGTGATGGTATGCTTGCAATATGAATCAAGAAAAAAACACTCATTCATATAATAAATTGCATTCTTTGTGTGGTGGTTTCTTGTCTCTGTGGTGATGTGCTGTTCCTTTTATTTACTATTTCTTCTTTTATATGCATTTTTTTATTAAGTCACAAGAAAGAAGAAAATATTAAGTGTTTATTTCTAGCACAGATTACATTGTTTCTCTTTGATAACATTGTATTTTTTTAATCGCTTTTGCTTGAATCGTTTTCATCTTTCAAATAATCTTTGGACATCTTGATTGCGTTTGTTTTGATTTTCAATTAGTTCCATTTTCATATTTGGGATGAGGAAGTGGTGGTAGTACTGGTAGTAAATATCTTATATATTGTTTGTCTATAAAAATACTTTGACATTTAATTTAAATCCTGTCCATTTTCAGATCTGAGAATGTGTATTGGACTATAAAAGAATTCCACAACCTTGCTCTCCCTCTTCCTCTCTATTGTTTGTCATTATGGCATTTCAATAATAAGACAACATAATCAAGATAGAGTACAGTTTTTCTTTGACCATTAAACTGAAAATGGCATCAGTGAATATGACTAGACTTTATTTAAATCCCTTTTGTCAATTCTATGTTGTATGTTGCTACCAAATGCACCAATTCTCTCATCATTAATTTAAACCTACAAATGATAGTCTTATAATCACATTTCTATATTTCACTGAACTTTCAAAAAGGCTTTTGCAGATATTAAATATAGAAACCTAATGTCTATTGCTAAACATTAGTACGTGATCAGATAATTTTATTTTTGGGTTTTGTTTATGGCTTTGCTCTTTGAGCTGTCTTGGTAAATCCCCCAGATTCAATTTACTAATATCTTTTTAGAAACTTAAATATAATGTACTTGTTTGTTATGAAAACAATTTTTTGAATCTTACAATAGCTTACATTTAACCAATTAAGGACTAATGTTCCCAAATGCACCAGCAGGTTTCACACATTTAGTCACAGGATGCACAACAATGTGCATGCATGCAATCGGGCAGCACTGTATTTCAATACACAACATTAATACTCATCACATGATTAACTAGCAGCAACTTTTGGAAATCTATAAGTTTTAGATTTCCAAAGCCATATCTCATGATCAAGGAGATTAAAGCAGATTGCTAATTAAGAAGAATACTCTTCAATTTTACTATCAGTCTCACAAGTTACCTTACTTTTGTTTACTATCAAAATTAAAAATACTTATTTAATTATTAGGTTGTTAATAATTTTCTAGTTAAAATGAATGTTATAATGTAATATTTCAAAGAACAGTATCTATTCAAAAAATGTCTAGCAGCTTTCATCTTATCACCCCCCCCACCAAATCTATTCTATTTGAATAATTCAAATATTAATAACGATTCTCTATTAATCAAAATAATAGGTTTTTGTGTGTTTTATTTTTCACATCTTAGAAAGAAAAAAAAAATGAGAATGACAATATTAGACTTTATACTCATCTGACTGATTCTGCTTCACCAATTTGTCATCAGTCATTTTGGGAACAAGTTTAATCCTTATTAGAAGTTACAATAATACCAAAAATGAATACACTGTGCTATTCATAATAAATTACAAGTTGATCAGATTGAAATAAACAGATTTAATATTTTTTTGGCCACATTTGCTAAGTTCTTCCACAGAACGAATGTCTGACAGTATTCACATTGTTTTTAAAATTGAATTTCTATCAAATCCTCTTAGAAATGTCACTTTCTAGGTTGTTGTTGTGCAAATTTTCTACATTGTTAATATAAAGAATTGATACTCCTTTATCCTCACACTTCCAGAATTCAATAAATATTTCAATCTTTTCTTTTCAATGTGTCAAATTTGATAATATATTAATTATATTGAAATTTGATAGTGTATTTTATGCCAAAGTTATAAAAAAAAAAATATCCTTTCATTTTAATAATAGTAATAAAAAGATTTACTGCTTAGACATTTTGATGTCTTTAATGCTACCTCACCCTACTACAGTGATCCCCAAACTCTTTTTCTCTAGGCTTCATTTTGGGAATGAATTTTTGTTCACACCTCACCAAATTTTATGTGATAAAAATTACATTTAAAAAAAAAAAAATAAAAAAAACAGAGAGAGAGCTATAGAGAGATAAGCAGGGATTCGAAGTCGGAACATTCTCACTGATAACTCTCTCCTCCAATTTGCAAACCCTAGTTACTATATTCTTAATACTTGATATAATGCAAAAATATCACAATGATAAAATCTGTCAACAATTATTTATAACTATTTATAATGGGACTCATACATGCAATTACAAGTAATCCATAATAATATTTTAAATTTGGAAATCATTTTTGGCATATGAATTTTTTTAAACTGTTTCTAAATCTTTGATTGTCTTTCAATCATTCTGCCTTCACCTGCTATCCTCTTCTGCCACACCTATGATGTGCGCACCACACCATTTGGGAACCACTACCCTAATGTAATAAATAGTATTCATCCATAATGCATTTGTAACAATATGTTGTATAGATTGTAATTCTGGGCAATCAAAATTTGGGGAAAGAAATACTGATAATTAGTATTAAATCTTGTAAATTATAGTAATTTTTTTTTTTTTTAATCATACTTCAAGTTTTATATTTTTCATTTTCTCTTCTTCTTTTTTTCAAGAAATGTCTGATAATAGATTTAATTAAATTTTACAATAGTTTTACTTTCCTATTTCTTGTTGTTATTGCAGTTTTCAGTTTTCTTCATAATTCTTGTCTCTTGCTTTGGTTTTTCTGCGAGTAACCCATGGTTCCTCAAATGTTGCCTGTGCATGTAAATCAGCTGTCAATGAAACCTATTTCCTTACATTTTCACTCTTTTTTTCCTCTGTATCCTTTCATTGATTGTCATGGCTCATGTTTGTCTTCTTTAGCATTTTTGACACTCTGTTGTTTGCATTGTTTATTGCATGAGATTTTCTTTTGATAAACCCAAATTTCAAACTTTTCTTGCATCTTTGCAGACATTTTCTTAAATGATAAATGAAGCAATTATGCAAAGAGACATCAACACTGAACTCTTTGCAATATACCTTTAACAATCCACTTGAAATATCAAAAGTTATTTTATCTTCTACAACAAGAAAAGAATTAGTATTTACTAAATTACTTAGTTCTTTCCTCAGCATTTTATTTTAGAATTCTTGGCTCAATATTTTATGTATCCTTTTATTTATTTATTTTTACTTTAAAAGATTTGTGCAAAGAAACTTTGGGAATTTAAATATTACTTTACCTTAAAAACACTATATTTTGTAATATATGGATCCACTTATATTTATAAGGTCCGCTATGTTTAAAATGGATTACAAAACTATTAACAATATAAATCAATTCAAATTTAAGCATTGAACTAAGAACAATAGCAAGGAATAAAAATTGAAAATAATTTAATATTTATTTCAATGTTCTTGTAAGATTTTTTTAAAATTAATATTTTAGCAAAAAATCATTTTTCTTGGTGGGTCAGATTCACTTTCCCTTAAATTAATATTCGGAAAAAAATATTTTAAAAACTTGAAAGGAAAGCATGAATTTGAACACTCATTTATTTTTTGTTCTGTCTGGGTCTTTAGTTTTTTTTTTTTTTTTTTTAACCAGTATCAATTATTGGTATTTGAAATAAAGTGAAAAAGTATTCATTTGGGTAATGTAGATAATGGCATTTGTTTTTGGGGGTTTTTTTGTTTGTTTTTTTTTTTATCATTTCGTCTCAAGCAAACTGATAAAACCATGGAGACACAAGGGGTTACTGAGAGTGAAAGAAACCCTGCCTCACCTGCTATTCTCTCTGGGAAGCACAGTCACATGGTTATATATTTAGGTAAAGATTAAAGAGAATGTTTTTCTAAAATGTTATAACTGTTGGCCAATCAAGACTTAAAGTTTTATTCAAGTGAACCAAACAAAAAACTTGTGAAACTGAACCAGTTCAATTCACATTTAAAAAAAGTGATTAGCTGCAAATAATCCCATAGGAAAAACTCTTCAAAATGCATTCTCCTTTTTTTTTTTTTTTTTTTTAAAAGTATGTTTAATAAAAGAATGATATTATTATTCTTGGACAATTTGGCATTGACCAATTCTTTAGTTGATTATGATTTGATATTGTATCGAGCCAGAAGCTGTTAGAAACTGATAATGAATTGTCAGACACCTGAGACATTATTATTGACTTTTCTCATTGATATCGTAAGAGGTAATTCTCATCAAAGTTGAGGCATAACTTTTGGTTCACTTACCATGCAAATACAAATCAAAATTATTGGATTTATTTTTCTGTATTTATTACCAGAAAGACCTTTCTCAAAGAGTCTAATCTGAAAATGGTCACATTAAGTATGCTATATAATTATGGGGCTGATATCCATTCTCTACTGACATGGCACATTATCAACTTTCCTTTCAAAACATTATAGATTTTCTTACATATTATTTTCATCATTACTTTCATTTCTATGATGTGACATCAAGTGCTGAAACTTTTGCAATATGTGTCAATTTGCTGCTCATCTTCAATCTATCTTGATTTAATTAATTATTTACATTATTTATATTCAGACTGTTGTCGTCATCTTTGTTGTTGTTATCACAACGTTTCGGTCATTGTGCCCTTCCTCATGTTTATATCAGACACAGGGAATTCTGAACTTGCATCCTACATTTAATCTATGTGGGTGAACTTCCTATGATTAAATGCTATCCCTAGAAGTGGAATAAAAAAAAAGTCTACCCCTGTAGATTAAATAAATGGTTCAGTTCAGAATTTCCTGTAAATTGATATACATCTGAGGAAGGCTGGAAGGTACAATGGCTGAAACATTGTGATAACAACAACAAAGATAAGGACAATAGTCTGAGTATAAATAATGATAACTCCTCATCCCAGAAATTGATTCATTTAATATTTTCTGTTTTTGTTTTTTTTTTTTAATAGCTAGAATTTGGGGTAAGTTTGAGAAATCACCTAGCCTTGAATTAACTCGGTCTTTCACTCAGTTAATTTAATAGAGAAAAAAAACATTTTTTATTTATTTATTTATTCTCTTTGAACCTTCTTCAGTTTTAATGATAGAGCACTGACAATATGACACTAAGAATGAAAGAAAATGCAAAATGGCTGTAATATGTGCCTTTTACTTTTTAAAAAAAAAAAGGAAAAAGATAGACGTCATGGTTTTATTGCTTTTGTATAAATCTCTGCTTTTTCATAGTTAAAGACACAATAATAATAATACAATCTTATCTCCTGTTAATGCATCTGCATTTGTTCTGAAATTTTGCTTTCCAACATAATGTAAATTCATCTTTATCTGCAAACTTATACATTCAATATTTATAGGAAATTTTATTGTGACAAAACCTTTTCCTTCTATCACATTTGAAACAATTAAGCCTTTGTTTTAATTAGTACTTTGTTTTGCTTAGTCCATCATATATACTAATTGTTCACTCACACACAAACAGCTTATAGCCATATCATGTTGAAACACCAAATCTTGTATGACCATCAAAGCAATGTTGATCCTGATCTGTACCTGACTGCTTGGGAATACCAGGTGCTATAAACTTGGATGTGTGGGTGGTGTAACAGATAACTGCTTGGAATTGGAAATCAAAGAGCAGAGTTCAAATTCCAGATGAGTTTGTTATATTCATTTACATGCAAATACCCATGGGAAAGGTCTTAATCCACCTCTTCTCTCCCCCCCAACTATGGGTTAATTAGTAAGATTTGTATCACTAAATCATTATCATCTACCCCCCAAAAATAATTCTTACAATCTAAAAATATTTTCTGGTTTTAAATAACCTGCAAAGGGTTGATAAACCATAGAAAATGAATCAATGAAGCAATCACTCGTTTCCACTTATCAGGCAGCTCTTCAATAAATTTTAAGGTTTTTGATATGAAAAAGTTTTCAAAAAACATTTTAATCTGGTTTTCATTAGGAAAGTGTTTTGCATCACTCGAAAAAAGTACTAATAGATTGGTGTAATTAAAGAATTCATTTTTTACAATTTATTAACCCTTTGTGGGTTATTTAGTAGGACTCAGTAAACCATTATTATCTCCCATTAATTCTTAAAGTGTAAAAAAAATATTTTCTGGTTTTAGATAAACTTCAAAGGGTTGATAAGTTGTAAAAAAAAAAAAAATCCATCAATAAACTGCCCCCAACACACACACACAAGATAAAGATTTCAAGGATAAATATTTCATGTATGTTTTTTCCTTATACAATTTCTATTTTGTTTTAATTAACCTTTATCATAGTTGTGTTGTCATATCCTACTATGGTAGCAGAAAACGACTTTGAGTGAAATTAATAGTAAGGATACTGCAATTGAGAGGCCTTGGAAAAGAATGCAGTAGAAAGGGAAGTAATATTAATAAGGCAGAGTGCTAAAGATTAGAAGGCCAAATTGGATTAAATTATAAAACTATTTCCAAAATACTTTGATTTGTATATTTGTTAATTTCACTTAAGTCAGAATTTAATACCACTTGATTTATTATGCTGTATTAGGAGTTGAAAGATGAGTGAATTCATTTATAATAAACTCACTTTAAAAAAATATTTTTGATTATTTGCTTAAAAAAATTGTCCTTATGAGATTAATTCCCCTTTGTTCCTCCATCCTTTACTCATTGCACCCCTCCCTCTCCTATTAGTTATACTATTTTACCCTCCTTAATTTATCCCTCTTTAATATTAGTAAACTCAAAAACAAGAAACTCACTTTTTGTTTTAATTTTCTGCTTCTGTTTAGTCTGCTGCCAACATTAACCAAATTTTGCTTCTTTTTTGTTTTTTAACTACTGCCATTATTTACACACTGTAATGCTTTTTGTTTCTGTTTTCTTTGGTCAGAGACAAAAAAAATAGATTTTTTTGTACAATTGATTAATGTCTTCATTATGCTTGTTCTTCTTGTCAACTCTCTAACTTTTCCTCCTCTTTCTATAACATGTTATTTCTCTCTTTCTACCTCTTCTTTTTTTTCATTGTCTCTTTAAATTCTTTGTCCTACTCTCATACTGACAACTTTTTCTTTTTCTCTATCCCTCTCCACTCTTTTTATAAATCTGATATTTGTTGATTTTTTTTGCTTTTATTAATAATAATAATAATAATAATAAATTATTAAAAATATTTCTCATCAAATGTTTCTATTATTTTGCTTTTTAATATTCAAAAATACTTTTATCATTCAATAAGTTACGCTTATCAAGAAATACGGCTGATTTTCATGTCTTGATCTTTCTTGACAGACAAAAAAAAAGCCTGAGGCACAATTGTGAGGTCTATCCAGACTTCAACCCCTCCTATGCAGCCATATTTACTTTCAGTTGTCCTTGCATAACAAGTTTAGCAATCTTATTTCTGGTTTAAACTCATAATTCTTGATTATTTAACACATGTAATTCATTTCTTATATTCTTTTGATTTTCTTTTTATCAATTATTTTAAAAAATGATTTAATATATTTTTTATAGTTTTCTCAATAGGATTGCAAAACAAGTGATTCCTAAAAGAAATTGATAAAGAAATTAAAAGAATTTTAAATATTTTTATCCCAAATTTAATAATTTCTTGCTTAACACATTAGTGAATTCAATCAAAACACAATTAAATTGGTAGTTTCTTTAAGAAAATGAATTTAAGGAATTTTTGGAAGGACATGTAAATTTTAAAATTTGTTTTATAAGAAATTGTAAGTGTTCAATATTGAAATAAGTTCTTTCACCATTATTTTATTTTATTTTTTTTATTAGCTTTATTCATTGCAGTTCTTATAAGAATGATCAATTTTTTCAATATCTACAAACTTGCATCCTTACAGCAGCAGCAGCAACAGCATCGGCAAACACTCTGGACTTGGACTTCCTTGTGGTGAAAGATTCTCCAGAAACATCTATATCAAAAAGTGGAGGTAAGGTTATTTTTAAAGATGTGTGTAGAAATGCAGTTTTATTTTGCTTTGAAAATCATAAAAGAATTCATATGGTTAGGGATTTAGTTTTTACTTGGATTCATATTGCAAATTTACAATTTTTGAGAGCATGTGTTTAAGAGTATTAAAAAAATAAATGCAAAAATATTTTAAAGAATCATCCAAAAGTGATTTTTCCTATCTGCAACAATTTGTTGGTCACATCACTAAGAACTACTTTTGTTCTTTATGGTTTTCACATTATATCAACCAAACCAATGATCAATCCTAATTTTTGGTTTTGCTTTTTTTAAGTTTGTAGTTCATTTAGATTTGATTTTTATTATCTTGAAAAAACTATTAATATCATGAAAGGTTTTCAAAGATGCCCTTACAATATGAGATTAGATAAAAATCTTGTAGATCTTTTTTTTTTTTTTTCCCCCTCCTAACTCTTGTTCAATACACATCTATTTTGCTTTCCTGTCTGTTTTTCTTCCTAAACCTTCTGACTTCATATCACCGCTTGCTTACATCTTTAGTTCATAATCTTTGGTTCTATAGAAATAAGTTTTAATGAAATAATATCTGATTTTCTTTGAGAAAATCATGTTTTAAGTGATGATTATTTTATAATTTAATCTTGTTTTCCAATCTGTGTATTTACATCAAACTTATTATTAAGAAATGTTAAACTGAACAAGTTCGGGGAATTTTTTCAACACGAGAACAATAAGTCTTAACCTTTTTTTTTAATACTACGCTTCGATAGATATCTTTGTCATTATCAGTTACAGTTCACTGAATATATCTTCTATAAAGTCTATGACCAATAGAATTAAAGTATTCAAATCCCAAAGAATGTATGACCAATGAAAATTGATTTTGCATATATGCAAACAACTACAATTATTATATAATTAATAATCAATTTACAATATTTGAAAATTGAAAGTTTTGTTGAATAGATGTAATTGGAAAGGAAAATGTGAATTGCTGAATACATTTGCATGATATCCACTGATTAAACATTACATGCAGTAAAAGATAAGAGAAATAGATGATTTTAGTAAAACATTCAATGATGTAAGCACAGTTTTATTTAACTCCATCCACAATCCATAAACAGAAGAGCAAATGTTATGAATTTTTTTCTACAAATATCTCAGATTCCTTTCTAACTCAGCCAATATGCTCTCAGTGGGCCACATATCACCATAAACCTCATGGTCTCCAATTCTCTTTCAACTTTGGTAATAAGCTCGCTATGATCCATATATGGTCACCAATTCTTTTTCAACTAAAGCTATAAGCTCTCTATGATTCATATATAGTCTCATTGCCTCCATTTTTTTTTTTTTTTCAACTTTGGTAATAAGCTCTCTACAATCTATATATAGTCACATCCTCATTGTCTCCAGTCCTTTTTCAATCTGAGCCATGAGCTCTCTATGAGCCATATATAGTCATAGCCTCATGATCTCCAGTCCTTTTTCAACTTTGGCAATATACTCTCTACAAACCATATATAATCATGCCTTCATGGTCTCCAATACTTTGTCAACTTTGATAATAATCTCTCTATGAATCATATATAATCATAGCCTTGTGGGCTCCAATTGCTTTTCAACTTTGGCAATAAGCACTGTACAAACCATAGTCATAACTTCATATTCTGCAATAAGATCTTCATGAGTAGATATTGGCTATACATTATGACATATCCTAAGTAATTTGCTTTGATACATATAAACCTCCTTTTTTTATTGTAAATATGAAATTTTGCTTTTTTTTTCTCTCCCAGATTTCAGGGGACTATTATAAAGTCCTGGAATTTAGGATATTTTGCATTCATTTATTTTATGTGAAGTTTTTCATGAGCTTCTTTAGATTTTTTTTTATTAATGGTCTTGACTATTTTTTTTCAATTCTTTGAAACTTTTTGCATCTGTAAAATTTTAATTTTCCTAATCAGAATTCTTATAAAATCACACAATTATACCAAATAAAAAAATGAGGTAATTTTAACATAGATCCTGTTTTTGAAAATATTTAAGCATAATGATAATAATAATAATAATAATAATAACATTTATCCATGAAATTTTTTGAAAATATTTAATAATAATAATATTAATAACATCTATCCATGAAAATCTTGCAAAAACATTATCAACGCTTGTAAATAATCCCAATAAAATCCCGGAATGGATTACTGAAGGTATTATTACATACCTCATAACCAAAAACAACTGAAACAGACGACCAGAAAAATTATATTTAATAACATGTCTCTCCACAACGTATAAGTTGATCACGTCTGTACTGACGAACGAAATTTAAAATATTTTTTTCGAAAAACAAACAGCATTCTTCCACTGGACCAGAAGGGATGCAGAAGAGGTTCATATGGCTGCAAAGATCAACTACTGATAAATAAAATGATCCTGGAAAATTGCAGGAGATTTATTAGAAAAATTTAGCTGCAGCGTGGATTGATTATCATAAAGCCTTTGATAGTGTTCCACATTCTTGGATTCTTAAGACTTTGGAAAGGTACAAAGTCTCCCCTGTGGTATTAAATTTCCTTAAGCACAGCATGGGAATGTGGAACACCAAACTATACCTTAGTCACACCAGGGGCATTGCTATATCCAACCGTCTGAATATCCAACGTGGAATCTTTCAAGGAGACTCTCTGTCATCCCTTCTGTTTTGTTTGTCCTTAATCCCTCTTACGCATGAACTGAACAACAGTAGCTATGGTTACAAAATAAATAAGAAAATATTCAATCACCTACTCTACATGGATGATCTCAAACTCTTTGCCAAAGACGACAATGAGTTGAAAGGCCTCAATATTGTAAAATACTTCAGTGACGGCATAGGTATGGACTTCGGATTAGATAAATGTGCAAAAGTAACATTCAAGAAAGGTAGAATTACAGAAACACCCTTAATAGATTTAGATTTTGTCACAAAGATTAGGGAAATGGAGCATGATGAAGCTTATAAGTACCTAGGAATTAGCGAAGGAGATGGCATACAACACCCCCAAATGAAGGAAAAAATAAGAAAAGAGTACTACAGGCATGTAGTCTGGTACTAAGTACTGAGCTAAACTAAAAAAAAAAACAGAATATCAGCCATAAACACATTGGCTGCCCCTGTGGTGCAATACAGCTTTAATGTCCTTAACTGGACCATAGCTGAAATTAAGCGAATGGATGCCAAAACGAGAAAGCTTCTCACTTGCTACTGCATGTATCATCCCAAAGCTGATTTGGATCGTCTGTATGTGCCCAGATCCGAAGGAGGCAGAGGATTAGTTCAACTAGAACTGTCCTACAAAACTACAACAATTGGCCTCCAAAGATACTTGGAAACTACAGAAGACTGGATGATGGTATACGTCAAGGAACATGGAAGTAGTAAGCGTCTTTACTCCGTAATAAAAGAAGCCAACAAATTCAAAATGGACTTTCAAATGGGCATAGAGATGCAAGTACAACACAATACACCAGCTGAAACTGCAAAATACTTAAAAAAGACAGCAGAGACGAATGCAACCGACCAGATACAGAAGCGATGACAAGATAAACTGCTTCATGGCCAATACTCTGCCCGTACCAAACAAGCTGACATAGACAAAACCCGTACCCATCAGTGGCTACGTAGTGCAGGGTTGAAAGCTGAAACTGAAGGTTTTATCCTTGCTGCACAGGACCAATGCTTGCTAACTAGGAATTATCAAGCACATATACTAAAATATTGTGTCAGCCCAAAATGCAGATTCTGTGATAAATATCCAGAAACAATTGATCATCTTGTATCAGGTTGCACGATATTGACACCCACTGAATATAAAACCCGGCATGACAGAGTGGGCCAATACCTGCACTGGAAAATCTGCAACTTCTACGGGAAGGAAACTGAAAGAAAATGGTATGAACACCACCCAGACCCGATTACGGAGATAGGACCTGTTACAATTCTATGGGACTACATAATACACACTGACAGAACAATCAAGGCCAACCGCCCAGATATTGTTATTACAGACCACAAACGAAAAAAGTGCCTCCTTATTGATATGGCAGTCCCTGGTGACTGCAATGTATCTTTGAAGATATTCAAAAAGCTGTCAAAATACAAGGACCTTGAAATAGAAATCTCGAAAATGTGGCTTATGGGAACATCAACAATCCCTGTTGTAGTTGGAGCCCTAGGACTGGTTGGAAAAGATTGCAGTAGACTAATTGAAGGGATTCCTGGAAGTCTATTCCTCAAGGAGATACAAAAAATTGTTCTGACAAGTACAGCCCACACTTTACGAAGGGCTTTATCTATGTATATATATATATATATATATATTTTTTTTTTTTTTTTTTTGTCAGTGGAAAGTGTCATGATGCCATTTCTAACCTTAGGTCCCCAAGGGACCCAGAAAGAAATGTGTAAACGCCAGAAATCAAAGAAAATGAAATAATAATAATAATATTCAAATTAATAAATGAATTAATAATATTTAAATCTTAATTTCAAAGTACTATTAGTAATTAAAAGAAAAAAAGCTGTTTTGGATGTGATATCTGGAATTTTGTTTTTACATCAAATTTTCTTAAAAATATTTGGTTAGTGCAAAAATAATACCATTTTTAATCATCAACGTTAAAGCAGGTTATCTTAGCTTAGGAATAAAATTGCTTCTTCAAAATAAGAAGCATTAGAATCTATGCATTGTTGCCACAAACAAATTTATTTATTTTAGAAACATAGAATGATTAAACTGCAGAATTAATAGATTATTCGAAGATGTTTTGAGAGGCTTGGAAAAAAATGAGAGAGATCTGGTGTGTCAGCTGATCAGATGGTTTCATCATAGCCCAGGTCATTCAGTTTTTTGCATAAAACATGCAAGTTTAAATGGAAGAAGGCAGTTTCAACTTACACACCCACTCTCTTCGAACTGCCATTTTGTAGAACAAATTTCCATTGGA